TGTGATAATGATTTTTTTCGTTGTTGTTGGTGTTGTTGTTGAAATAATTACTCATATGTTCACATATGTTTGTTTAAAAACAAAACAAAAAAATGAACAAATTTTCCAGCTAATTATTTGATATTGCTGAAAAAAAATGAAAAAAAAAAGAAGATATAATCAGTTGGAAAAAAAAGAAAAATTTTTACAGGAAGATTGGAGAAGGAAAAAAAAAACCAGCAACAAGCTTTTGAACATCAGAACACACAGATTATCCCTATTGATTATGTTGAAGGAAAAAGTAATGAAATTACTGTGAAAAAAAAAAAAAGAAGTTTCAATGCAATTTGTGCATCATCGATCATATGATGCGACAATATTTTCTGATTCCTGCTACTGTTGCCGTTGTATTGCTGAAATTCTGTAGCGCAGAAGAACAAAAACATTTCAATGTATCCGAATCGGCACCAGAAGGCCATCTTATTGGCTATATTAATGATACATTATCCTATGGTACATATCCAAATTATTTGGTGGTATTTTCAGATGATACCAAAAATACCAAAAATGTATGTTTTCATTTTCTACTGTTAATCTCATTTACACATATTATTTTTGCTTTATATCTGAAAAAAAAAAATCAGAATAGCAGCAATTCATTTCAAACATTTGTAAACTTTCAAAAAAAAAATTTGTTTATAATTATTCTATAAACAATAAAGCAAAAAATAAAACCAAAATCGATTCTGATCCGTACAAATCATTTTGTTTGTATTTTTCTAATAACAATTTTAGGTAATTGTTTAGGGTTTTTTTGAGCAGAAAAAGAAGAAATCAAAAAAAGCACTGATCAACCTAAAAAATTAGTGTAAAACTTAAGATATAAAATAAAAAAATTATCAGTACAATCAAAAAAGAAATTTTTTTTTGAGTAAATCTAAAAACTTTTTCACTGATTTGTTTCTGTAATTCATCGTTTTTGTTTGAACTGACATCAAAATGTTTTTGTTTTTATACAAAAAAAAAAAAAAAATACATTGACTTTTTTTGCAGTTATATTTAATTTCTATTCTTTTTTCTTTTTTACTTTTATGAATAATTACCCTTCTTTGTTCATCGGTCATATATTTTCTTTTAATTTATTTCACTTTTTTTTTTTTTTGCTTTTTTATAATTCTCTTTATGCGCAGTTAATTTTGTGCATTTAATTAGCTCATTTTTGCAAAACCGCGGTAACAAAAGCACTTTTGGTGTGGAAAAAAAGGTGCTAAGAGCTGTCTGAGGTCACCAGTGAAACATTGGGCGCAACCGATGAACACTAAAGAGTCAAACACCAAACAACACTGACAGTTTTTGTCATTCCTTTCCTCCTCATTTTTTCCACTCTACCTTTTTCCATTCCTTCTTCTCCACCTTCTCGTCATCATTCTTCTAATCTTCCTCCTCCT